AGAGGATTTCTGTTCTCGTCAAATTAAATTTCTCTGTTTGGGGTTTAAAAGAAACAGTGAAATCCGAAGCCCCTGAGTCCAACAGGAATGCCTTCCTCCAGTCTCCCTAAAGAAGTTTCCCTGGGGGTGGGGAAGGGAATGCTTCTGCCCTGCTTTTTTCAGTCCTGGACATCCTGGCTCAGGAGGGGCAGAGTTCACTTAGGCCATTCCTCTGCTTTTTGCAGAAAAAAAGGATTTTGTGTAGCACAAATGGAGTTCAGGAGTTTGCAGAAGAAATTTTGCAATTTTCCTTGCTAGTTCCTCCTGGGGTTTACCATGATTGTATCTAAAAATTCCTCTACATCCCTAACTGTGGCTCTCTCCGTGACCTTGAGTGGCTCTGCTTACTGGAGCACCTGGGTTTGTGTCCAGCCTCTTCTAGGCTCAGTGCCAGCCTTATTTTGAGACTCGGCGATATCAATAATTTCTCCGTAAAGCCCAACATTTAGTAATTATTACATCCTAGACTGAGGAAACGAGGAGTGCAGACTTGGAAACGGATGAAGCATCTGACTAACATGTGGTCGTCCCTGGGACCTGCTAAATATGACCCTGCAAGGCTCAAGTACACTGGACCTGTCTGATGCTGGACAAGGCTACTGATTGTCCATCGACCCAGTCAATGGTGTCGGCTGCCGTCTCCCTGGGGAAGCTCCCCGCCCTGCAGGGAAGAATTTCTGCAGGGTCTGGGAGCAGCGGTGACCCGCTCCAGAGGTGGAATAATGGGGCTGATGGGAAGGAAAAAAGACAGGCAGGAGGCTGACCTCACATCTGGCTCTCCCAGTCCCCCTGGATCAGGCAACCTGCTAGGACCAGAGCCAGCCAAGTGTATGACTAGTGGCATTGTTCGGTCTTCCAAAATAACCTTGAGAAAATACAGATAAAGGGAGAGCAACAGAAATCTTTATCAGTTTAAAAGGCACACATCTCCCTGCCCATTTTGCAAGAAATGAAAAAACAATCTTAACACACAGTTGCCATGGGAATAACTGCTGAGTTTAAATGACAACATTTTAATTGATACTATTATAAAACAGGTGGGCTGTTCACGCTGGTAGGTCAAATGTGGAAATTATGCTTTGTTAGAAAGTTTTCTCACAGACTTGTTCCTTTTGATAGGAAGAGCTTCCTAGTCTAAACAGAAGGAGCCTTATGGTAGTATGTCTAAGTCCCTCCATCACAACATTGGCTTAAGGATGCCAAGTCTATTAATGACACTACCATCAAGGGAAATTAGGAAAAAGGTAACCACACTTATAACACTTTCTGCCCCATGTCCCTTTTCCCACAACGAACACCTAGGAAATTCAGATTTGCCAAAGAAAGTTATCATTATCAGTGATGCCAATGCCGACAGGTTACCAATTACACACTGGTGCTTTCTTGTCCAGGATCTTGTACATGGATTATGGACAAGGAAACTGAGGCCCAGAGGCCACAGGACTTGTTTGCAGTAGGGGCAGGTCCAGGATTTCTGACTCGGTGCAGCACCCTGTCCCTTCCCCCGCAGATCACTCTGTGCTCCCCAGACCAGCACCACTGGCAACACCTTGTTAGAAATGCACGTTCTCGGCTCCACCCTGGCCTACAGAATCAGGACCTCTGGGGTGGGGGTACAGCAACTCACGTTTTCAGAACCCCCCAGGGATGCTGATGCACGCTTAGGTTTGAGATCCACTGCTCTATGATAAATGGTAAATTCTACACTGAGTTCTCGGTTTTAGAAAAATTCTGATAAACTACCCTTAAAAGCCAAGGTCTCAAAGGAGCCAAGCGCTCCTTCAGTGCCAGGCGCAGTGGAAGGGGAGACCCTGGCTCTACCTGCCCTGGGCAGCACTGACTGTGCCCTGCGCCAGTTAACACCGTCTCTAAGCGGCAATGTTCTCTCTGTAAAACGGAGGCACTGACCTTGCAGGGCCATTGCACGAATGAAATGAAATAATATATATATGTGAGGAGCCTGGCGCTTAAAATAAACAACACTGGTTTCTTCCCCCACTCAGCCCATAATGGAGACTACTACCTGGACCGGTCAGAGATGTAATGTGTGTTTAAGTAACCCTGTAATTCACCTCTATTACCCTGCCGAGAATGAACCTGAAACAACAGGTCTTTTCCCCTCAGTGAGTTAAACCAGATTTATTGAGGTCTTGGACTTCTGAATACCATTCATAACTTTGAAATTAAAAGCTTGTAGTTAAAATCCTGCAGTCACGGGGCTGGGCACCAGTGTAGGGTCTCCCTTCAAATCCTATCATTTTAAATTAGCAACACTGTCCCCCAGCCACAGGAGTGAAGGGGCAGAGCACCATGAGCGGGTGAGGAAGGCTGAACAGCGTCCCGAGTTCCCGGGCAGATGAGGCCACTGGGCACCCTGTAGGGCTGCAGGTTCCTGCTGGCATGTGCAAATCTAAATTCTGCAGCCCGGGCTCTCCAGAGGACGATGACATGATCGATGTCAGAGATTAGACAAGGGGCTGTCTCCACAAGGCTGATTTAAGGGAGGGCCAAGCTTGCAGCCTCGATCCACAGTCACCTGAAGGGTAAACTCAACTAGATCTTCAGCCGCCTGTCTCAGCCCGGCCGTTGCTTTAGGGAAGGTAAGTCATTCCCCCCCAAGTTCCTCAGTTTTGAAGGGACCTGGTTCATTTCCATGTAACAAACTAGAAGGGTCTGGGGTAACAGGGAGGCAACACGGCTGCCCGAGGCGGAATCCTGGTTGCCTCACATACTGGCTGTAACTGTGGGCATGTTATTTAATTTTAGCGCAAGTTTCATCATCTGTAAAATGGGATAATGGTATCTACCTTTCAGAATTACAACGAAAACTAAGTGAAATCATACATAGAAAGCACATTGTTAAGAACATAGCTGGCAGTCAATATATTTGAGATTATTTCAACAACTTATTTTGCCAACTGCTCCTTCCAAAAAGACCACTGAAATTTCACCTGCTGTTTTTTTTCTCACCAAGGAACTGGCTGAAGAAAGGCAGCCAGAGAGGAGAGAGAAAAGCAATCAGTCTGTTAAACTCTAAAGTGACATAACCAAAGCATGAGGGATTAAGAACGGACTGTCGCTCTGGTCTTCAGAAAGCATAGTCCGTGACCAGGTACAATGTCACCATACTCCCGAGTAGTGCCAGGTGCCCAAGGAAACTTAGGATATGAAGACGTCAACAAAGACATACTAGACACAGTTTACACAACAGAAATCACCCTATTCTCATGCAAGGAAATGTTCATTCGTTTCAACAAACATCTGAAACACTGTTCTAAGAGCTGGAAATGAGAGCGAAAGAGACTCATGGAGTAAAGACCTCTCTCACTGCTGGACGTCACTGAGGGAACCCTCTCCTACTCAACAAACATGCTCCTTAGCCTTAGTCTTCTTGGGAAAAATGATGATAACCACTCAATAAAGGCTGGCCCCCAGGCTGGCACAGGCACACGCCAATCGTTGTCCTCACAGTGTCTCTGACACGAACAGCGCCATTAGGCACATTACACAGATTTGGAAACTGAGGCTTAGAAAGATGAACTCGCTACTCAAGTTTCCATGATGAATAAGAGATAAAGTCAGCACAGGCTCAAAACCTGTGCTCTTAATCCTTACTTGGGTTACTTACATAGATTTCCGTTTCTTTTTTTTTTTTTTTAAACTGGCAGTAGAGAGAAGCTGGATTCAGCCCAGCTTATGCGGTCAGCCAAGTCACCCTAATATCCATCTTCAGCTGCTCCCCCTCCCCCACTGCTAAAACTCCATAAATGACTCTGATCTTATTTAGGACACAAGCCCGAAGTTGAGATTTCAGGTCTTCTCAGACTTAGCCCAACCTACCTTTGTAGCTTCATCTCCCACGCCAACGACGCCTCTCGTCATTTCCTGAACGACATCCACACTGCTCTCCTGCACCTTTTGGCTCACAACACACATCTGTCTCTCTCTGCCATTAGTAACACTCAGGAACCCCAAGCCGTCGTTTGCGACCATCTGGGAACGCCGCTCTTCCGTGAGGCCCTTCCTAATCTCGCTCCCTCACAGGAAGATGAGATCGGAGCCCTCCAGCCACTCGGCTTTACAGCTGCCCAGATGTTGGCCTGCCCAGATGTTGGCTCCCACAATGTAACTGACTCACCTCACTTCCTGTCTAAGTCTCAGGGCACTCAGCCCGGTGCCTTTGCTGCAGGCTCACTCACGGTTTATAGTAAACAATGAGGTAAAGGAAATGCCAAATTATTAAGAGTATCTTATTTTCATCACACCTCAATACTTCAGTCACCGTACAGGTTCTCCTGCATATTCCACATTATATATTTGGAACATAAAAGGCTGTGTTCGGAACATAAAAGACCGGCTCGGCCAGTGGCAACAAAGTTGCATTAGTGGGCCGAGGGACTGTTTTTTTTTGTATGTCAGGTTGCAATTAAAAAACCCACAAAATAAAAACACTTTGGTTGGGGCCTGTCTTTGGAGACAGAATATGAAAACATTTCAAAGCTTTGAGTGGCTTTATCATCATCATTTTAGAGAAGATAAAATGATCAGTCTGGTTTCTGATAAGGTTGCTCTGGAGAACAGAGCTTTCATCTGTAGCCACGGCCATGCCTCCTAAATCCCCACCTCAGGACCAGATGCCCACTGGGCACTTGGCATGCTGGGCACTCACGAAGGACCTCCACACCTGGCATGTGCCAGGCCCCTGCGTGGGGGCCGCTGGGGGCCTCCAGACCAGCACCTAGAAATCAGGCCTGCACCCTGACCCACTTTCATTGGCCACCCACAAGCAGGAACCAGCATGATTTCATCTGGGGACATGAAAGTGCTAAAGTAGAGTTAAAATTTCTAAAAGAAACCTCCTCAAGGATCTCTTTGCAAATTAAGTTTCCAATTAAGTTTCTCGATCTGTGGAGTAACTGCTGTACCTAGAGAACAGGAATCATTTTGAGGCCATTTCTTACCTTGACCCAATGACATCGAAAAGATGCTGCCAGCGGTCGTTAATTTTGTTGAGCTTGTCATCGATCTCGGCTGCCCTTGCCTTGTTGCTGGCCTTGATCAACTGGTCACCCATCTGCTTTAACTGCAACTTGTTCTCACTGAACAAGTTTATTTCTTCCATGCAGTCCTGGCAGAGGCATCAAAACAAAGCTTCAATTACTGCCAAAAATTCACTTCTTTGCCAAGCAATAAACATAGTTGCCTCTTGAAAAGAATTTTTTTAATTAAAAAACTTCTTACACCTGTTGACCCAACTCTTTCGTGAGTAGCTGTCAAACGATGCCCACTCAGGACACGTGTAATATGTAAAGCAGTAGTTACTTGCTTAATTCTACAGCCCTGGTTTCCCCTTACAGTTTTCTCCTAATCTCCCCGACTTGGGAGTTGAGGACAACTGAGTATAACTAAATTAGCCTAAGATTAGTTAAGAGTTTTCCTGAGTGGCAAGAACCTTTCTACCTTTCTCTCTAGGCATTAGTAACCATTTCAAAATGATGAGCCCCATTCCTGTTGGCCTCTCCCCTTCAGCAAGGGGAGCTCTGTAACAATAACTAGAAAAGCTGTAACTCACTCGGGGTGGGGACAGATGCTTAAAGGAGACGCGGGCCCCATCTCTGGCCAGACTTCCAGAGAAAGCCCACTAGAATGGCCCCACACTTCCCATCTCTCCTCTGGGAAGGAAGGGAAAGAGGAAGATGGACCCGTCAAATCTCTAAAATGCACCTGGAACACCTGTAACACACCATTCTGAGCCTGGCAGAGAGGAGGGCAGAGAAGCCCGCAGGGGTAACTGCCTTCACCTGGCTGTTGCTTACCTTCTGCAACTTTTCAATCATTTCTTCGATACTAATATCTGCTGTCTGCAGAACTTTGTTTTCCATCTGCACCAGCCATGCACATAGCTCCTTATTTTTTTCATTGAACACAATCCATGAATTGAGTCTGTCTTCAATCTCCTGTTTGCGTATGGCCACCTGGAAACAAAAATGCATTTGGCAGCTGAGTACAGGCAGGAAGGAAAGTGTTTCCCTTCCCTCCCCCCATCAAAAGGACTATGAATTTCATTCATTTTTATCAGTAGCCCTATCGGCTTAAATTACTATGTTTTTGCCTCTTAAATTCCTAAGGTTTAACAACAGAATTTCCTTACTCCTTTGATAAACATCATGAAAAGCAACAAAATAAAGATTGTACCTGAATTGTAAATGACCAAAAGGGTTCAGTTTTATCCAATATTATCGGGTTATATTAAAAATTAGAAACAGAAATGGTTAGATGATACCTTAAGCATCACCTAAATTTCTTCCGTTCCTGTTCTTTCGATACACATTTGTCCAACGCTCGCTACATGCTAATTTATGACTTTAGTACCCAACTTCTTTCCCTTTTGAAAAATGACCAAGTCTTAATACCTACTTAAGGACAATGTCCTGCCTGTTTAATTAAAAACTATAATACAGATCCCATGATATATCTAACATTTGTAATTCAAATGGACCATAAAAATCAGTCATTTAAATATCTTAGCGTTGTATTTCAAAGCAAAAACAAAACAAAGTAAGATTAAAAATAACAATGCACATCACTCATTTAATTCACGTTCCCATAATGTGTTACTGCATTGGACAGAAACCATGGGAATGGGACCGAATACTGGTCTGCAGTAAGCAGGCTCACCCCAAAACACCCAGTGCTCTGTGCTGCACAGGCAACCCCTAAGCTAGTAGCAGCAAAGGGTCTTCCTCCCCCCAGGGTTCAAATGAATTACTTCAATAAATATAAATTTAAAAAATGAAATCAGCCTTTCTCAATGTAAAAAAAGTCTCCTCAGGTGTTAAAAATCTTTTTGGTAAAGTTTTAACACCCACTTTACAGATGGGGAAACTAAGGCTGAACTCCCAGAGATTTTCCTGCTATGTGCAAAAACACCTCTGCTCTTTTCAGACCGAAGCAAAAATGTCAGATGCTTGCATGTTCACCCAACCAAATGTGTTAGAAAAGGCCCAAAGAACTACGCCCCCAAGTTTTGTGTTTCTGTTCCTCAGGGCATCTATCTTAGCTTTAAAAAACAGGGCATTTTGCGGGCGTCCCTTTGCTAGGCTTCATAATGGTAACAATTAGGAACATCTGGACCCCAGTCTTTGCTGCTTAACTTTGACGGTACTTTTCACATTCTCTAAATATTTTCTTTAATATAAAATTTGAATGAAAATTGTAAAAGGACATTTAAAAGTAGGGTATATTGTGAATATTAAATACTATGATCAAGAAGGAAAAATGTTTTTACTTTACTAAAATGCTTTTTAAAAGTGTCTGAATTTCAACTCTTAAAAATACATCTCCTTGTAATTCACAAAAATAAGATTTGGGAGTTTATTTTTCTTAGAATTACACCCTCTTAAAACAAAGATCTGTTTGAACCCTTTAACTCCACCCTGATCCTGTCTGTCTGTCTGTCTCTCTCTCTCACACACACAAAACACCCTAACCACAACCCCCCATTCCTGATCAGAAGTGAGCCACTGAGAGGCTGAGGGTAGCAGCAGATCATTTCCTCTAAAGTTTTAAAAACCAGCGACTTGACACAAACACCGGATTGCCTGCGAACGCAGAGCTCTCGGATGAAAGGCGCCCGGCGGTGAGGGCACTCAGTGCCCCTGGGCCCAGAAGAGATGCTGCACAGACTCAGCTCCAAGCGCCTTCCGAGTCCTGATTCCAACTCCCAGACTAGCGCCTGTCGCCTGCACAAGACCGCACAGCCCACACGCCCATCATAACCGCAGTCCTCCCACACTGAGCATGATTCTTTAAAAGGCTCCTTATAGATGTGCCAGGTCCCAGCACCGAGCGCTGGAGACACAAAGGGTCAGACCTGCTAACCCGCGGGCCGCCCGGTCAGGGAGCCCCAGCCGGCCTGCGGCTCTGAAGTGAAGCCCCCCACCCCCCCTGCTTTGTCCTGCCTCCGGAGACGGTTCAATCGAGCCCAGGCCGGCGGAGCCCTGCCGTGAGCCCACTTACTCTCAGGCAGAGGTCCTCCCACTGCCGGCGCAAATGCGCGATTTGCTCGGCGAGAACCATCGCGTCCCCCGCCGGAGTGTGCTGGGCCAAGTCGGCTTTCATAGCCTGCAGCTCTTCCAAGTTCTGAATCCAGGTAGCCGAAGCCGTCTCCAGCTCCTGCATTCAAACACGGGACGAGGGGAGAGAGAAAAAGACACAAACTTTCAACTCCAGCTGCTGCAGTTTCCAAACGTGCAGGCGAATC